ATATTGATCTGTTCTGTATACACAACATCTATTGCACGTCTGTCCATTCTGGAAGACGGATCCCTCCTCAGTTGCTCCTCCAAAGGTTTCTATCTTTTTTTTTTCTCTCTGTTAAAGGTTTTTTGGGGGGGGGATTTTTCCTTAGCATCTGTTAGGGTCCAAGGACAGAGGAGTGTCGTATGCTGAAAAGTCCTCATAAAAAAAGGTTGTGCAGCTGTTGATGCAGACATGGGTGTGTTTTTTGGCCTTGGGTCAATCTTAAGCATTTCAATCTTGTCCATTCTAGACTGACTGTGCTAATATTGTCTCTGCTTTAACTCAGCTGATTACACCTGCTTCCACAGCAGCCTGGATTGAAAGAAAGCTTTGTAAAACCTGACCTCCAGCCTGGAACACACAGACAGCCCATGTGTAAAGCAGATAGGTGGGATTATACAACACATACTGTAGATTTCTTGGAAGAACAACAGAGTCACGATAAAAGGCAGCTGAGCTCATATTTGAAAGGTGGTCAGATCACTTTCCACTAGTTTACAGGAACAACAGACAGACAGAGGAAAGACAGACAGCCAGGCCCTACCCAAATAATCAGCCCTGAGAGCAGCAGTTAAGCATTAACACCAAACCTCTGTCCAACAAAAACACATAGGATATTCTCTCCCTGTCTCTGTTTATCCATCTCATAATCATGACGTAAGGCTCTGTGTTACAAGCAGGATCCAGACCAGAAGGATTAAAGAAAATACACTTGTTGCTTTCACTTAATAGGTTTGAAAGAAACAGTCTGTCAAACAGAAATGTAGCAGATGGCACCTGATCTTAGCTCTATTTTGCCACAAACTAGGCATTGATAAATGTACAGTGACTGAGAACAATACCAGGCAACAGACAGAGGCCAGACTAATGTCATTCCTTTAATTCAACCCTAATGTATCAGTTTGTACTTTCTGTGCGGCCATCAACCAGCACTAAACACTGCTTCAATTTATGTAATGAATACAAGGGGACTGGATTTTCAGGCCCATTTTGTGTTGTGGGGATCAATGTCACTCTCTCATGTTGCATAGAGTAGATAAGGAGCTGGAGTCAGGACATGGTTAGCTTAGCTTAGCAAAGACTTGAAGCAGAGGGAAACAGCTAGTCTGGATTGGTTTAAAACTACACCCACCAACACTCTTAAAGCCCACTGATTACCACATATCATATTTCTTTAATCTGCACATATTTGTATTGTAACTGTTGTTTTAGGGGTTTGAACAGGGTTTTAGAGTTACATGCTGCAACTATTTCTTGCTTCTGACTTTACAATAATTGTGATTACAACCTACATGTCATGGCTAAGATCATATTGCTATACTACAAAAAGGACGACTATTAACAAACATTAAAGGTAGGATCTGGAGGATTTTCAAACAAAACAAAATATAGACATATACAAATGAAATCCTGCTTAATCATCACCTATGGGCTTCTACTCGTGTGGTGGTGACTCTGTTTGCAGAGCTCCTGCCCTTTAACTGTAGTTTGATGTTTTTGTGAGCTCGGACTGCTTCTGCGTGGAGATTTCCCCAGCCAATGAGAGAGCGCAGGTGCCGTGCCCGAGCGTGTCCGAGCGTGCATCAGTGCGAGCCTTGCCTTAACTTCTGTGAAGCTTTCTTCCATGCCTCCGGGCTCCGTACACCCGGGAGAGTTGAGCCTGATAGGAGGGGCCAAATTTGAATGTGTGTTTACAAACAGCAACTGGAAAATCCTCCAGACCCTACCTTTAATATGTATCAAATACAACGGGTGTTTGTTTATTGCTGCCTGTTCAGTGGGACCTAAGAAAGGTGGTGATGCTGATCTGTCATTTCAGCATATTACTGAGTTTTGCTCAGAGCACATTTTGAGTCACTATATCTTAATGAAACCTGATTGAGCTAGCTCTACCTATTGGTTTAGTCATGTTATGCTAAAAAAGATCCACCAGATGTCGCTGTGTCTTTAAATAGTATACCTTTTCAATTCACCTCCTACAGGAAGTTAGTAACAAAAAGTTATTCCAGACATGAGGGCTTTCAGACGTTTTGCTGAACAGTTTTATATAACTTTGTACAAATAATAATAAGTCTAATAAGGGTCTTTTTTTTTTTTTTAAAATCATCCTCTACCAAATTGGTGATTTGTCCATTGTCTGTAAAGGTAGTGAAGGTCAGCTAATGGCATTAAAATTGACTATTTGCTACAAAAAAAAACAAACAAACAAAAAACACAGTTGAATTGTCCTTTTATATAAAGGCAGTGATACTAAGATATTAAATAAAAATTTTCAGGAAAAAAAGGATGAGTATTCACTGTTGTTAACACCGTATATATTTAATGTTATTCCATTATATATATTTGATGAAAAAAGAAGTATGAGTGTGATTTGTCATCATCTCTAATATGTTTTCAAAGTACTGTAATGGTAAATATCTGAGATAAATATATGGAAATAACACTATTACTGGTGATAGTACTAATTTTATCGTAGCAAACTGATGTATGTTGGTATACTAACACATTACTAGCATTATACATGGTTTGTTATTTCGATTTTTTTCTTTCTGTTTTACCATTACCATTAAGTGACATCTCAACCAATTGATAGCCTAAATGTACTAAACTAAGGGATCTGTTAAAAAAAAAAAAATTGCCCAAAGAAACAAAAGGCCCGTTTCCACCGCAGGAACTTCGGGGTAGTTTTACGGGGCCGGGGCCGTTGGTGCGTGTCTCCACCGCAGGAACCACCCCCGAAGGACAGAGTTCCGGAACTTTTACGGGGGCTAAACAAGTCCCTGCCTCGGAGTAGGTACTCAGAACTGCCACGAAAGACTCCCGGCTGGGGCTTGGGGTTTACTTGGTGCTGATTGGATATACTCAAGGAGGGATGTGACGTCAACAGAAAGCAACAAAATAGCCGGCATTTTTAAAACTCAGCAGACGAGGGTTAGCTCGTTCATATAGCTTCCGCTGCCATGTAAAAAAACTCACTAAATGGCCCGTGAAAAAAATATTTTTTCCAGCGGATATCTTAGTTACAAAATGATTGAGCTAGCAAAGCAGTTTTGTGTTGATATGTGTAGTATGTATTCAGTTTTGGGAAATCACGATGTCTAGAAAGCATCAGTGGCTGCCGCTGACAGGGACAGCTAGCAGCAGCAGCAAAGCTAACATCAGTATGTCATCTGTTAAAAGCCTCCCGTTGTCGGAAATGACATGAAACTACTCCAGTTAGCTCAGTCATGTTGTAACTAAGATCCGCTTGAAAAAATATTTTTTTTCATGGGCCATTTAGTGAGTTATTACAGACACCGCTAAGGGCTAACAGCTAACGGCGTCCCTACGTCGCCCCGGTAAATGGTCGCGCAACGATTACGTCACATCCAGAGCCCGTAACTTTACAAGAACCTTCCTTGTACTCCGCTCTCAGTGGAGACACGGCAGTTGAGAGGGCTGAGCGAGAGGACGTTCCTGTAGTAGTTCCTGCCCCCCGAATAGTACCAGGAACTTCTTCAGTGGAAATGGGCCTAAATACAAAGAAACAAAAAACCCATTGCTTTTTTCCTTAGTGTGGACCTTAAATGGATTTTTACAGTCCTCAGACAATGATACTTATTCCTAATCAGGGATGCACCCATTTATCGGCTGAACATCAATTTTGGCCGATATTTGCCTTGTTGAGTACCATCAGCCTATTTGTAAAAAACTTCTGTTTACTGATGTCAGTGGCTGCTGTTTTTCTGTTGTGTCACATCAATTTTGCACAGGCTTAAAAAGCAAGGCTTGAGGGGAACAGTGTCATGTTGTCTAAAAGACAATAGAAAATGTGTTTGGGGTTCAGTATCTTGCCCAAGGATACTTGACATACAGACTGGAGGAGACAGGGATTGAACCACCAATCTTACAATTTATGGATGACTCGCTCTACCTCCTGAGCCACAGCCGGCCCAGAATTTCACAATCCATGCCTCCCAAATCTTGATTTTAACATAAGATCTGTTTAGCACTAGAGGTAAATTATAAATAGAAATATACACATTTGTACAATTTGAATGGATCCAGTCATTTTCATTTTCTCTCTTTCTCTCTCCTTCACAGTATGTATTTTTATATTTTTTAAACTTGACACATAGAACTATATGACAGAGAAGTTCAGTGTGTATTTGAAACAGCCCATAAGAGCTTATAAATCACAGGAATGGTACAATTATGGAGTCTGTGCTGAAAGGGATGTTTCTCTCTTGGGACACTGAGCATTTCTCATCTCCCACTTTCACAACACCTCCTCCTCATAGTTATCAGCAGCACTACATCTGTGTGCACAACTCTAAACACAGATACTGAGAAAAAATATTTTCATTAATATGATTCACTATCCTCTAACAAGTTATGGGGATACTATTGTTAGATACAGCCATACAGTAATTATACTTCATAAAATGTATGTATTAACAGGTATTAGGGGTATTTATAAGTGTAATACAAGACTTCTCTGCATGGCCTTGCCTGTGTCAGTACAGTTTACGCTGGTGCAGGCTGGATCAGCAGGGTGGAGGTGGTACTAGGAGGTGATGGAGCTGAGGTTGTGAGGTTATCTGGAGGCCTGTACACTCACTGTTTGGTAAACCACTTTGTGTCAGGAATGTTTCATTTTGCTGGCATTCCTCAGGTGCATGTTAAATTGAAGAAGTGCAGCTCTGGCAAAGATACTTGGTTCAAGAGTTGAACAATGACAGCCTGCTGGCTGGGTCTATGTTTCCTATTAATATGGGATTCATTTAGTAGACATATGAAAGTGTTGACTTTCTGCATGTGCTCTGTGCATGTGATCTGTGTGTACCTGGGCATGTCAGTATCTGCATGTGCTCACCCTGCAAATATGCACATATACTACATATTTAATAGTATTCATGTAGGCTGTATGTGTGTGGGTGTTTCATATACTGTATATATCTTGCATGTATGTTTGTGTGTCTAACCAGTGCAGACGCAGGGCATGCAGGAAGGCTGACAGCCCCTCCATGATGAGCAGGATGGCAACAGTCAGGGTGGCGAAGGCCGAGAAGATGATTGACAGGCCAAAGAACCCGCCTCCGCTCCGGGACGACAGACCCAGGTGCATCACCATGGACCAGAGCACCTCAGACAGCTCTGCACACACAGTGATGACAACAAGACAGAGTCTTTATCTACGTACAAACTCTTTAAATAATGGTTTGCAGAGTGTGTATTACAAAACTGTGTGTGCTTGTGTGTCTGTGTGTGTGAGCATGTTTTTTACTCACGTGCATGAGCCAGGCTGAGGGCCCAGAGGCGCAGGTAGGAGGCTGTGTTGGAGATGCATCCTAGGCAGTACTCTATGGTGTGGATGGCTTGGTGGACAGCTACGTCACCAAAGTTAAACTGTACGGGAAAGACAAGATGGTTAGGAGGTTTATAGTAACATATTTTTGTACATATACACAGTCCTAAGGTTCAACAAGCAACCTTCAGGTCACAAGTCCAGTTCCCAGGCTACCGCTGCAAGTTTCCACTTGAAACTTACGTTTTAGAATTTTTTTTGGTCTCTCTCATACTTTTACTAACAAGCATTTTTTGTATTCTCCATGGTCATAACAAGAGCATTAATGAAATACTACAGTGATTAAGTACTGCACTTGCAAAAAACACAATGGTCAAAATTGGTGCAGCAGAGGCTGAGTACACAAAACACTGGATTCAGCACCTCCCTACTGCAACCAAGGAGGTTAAAAAGAGGAGAAGTCACTACATCATAATCCATCATATAATTGGGATACAACACCAGTGAAATATGGTCTGCACTTGCCAATAGGCTCAACAGCTGGTGCATTATCATGGAACATGGGGGATGACTGATTCATTTCAGTGAGGCATCCGCAGTCGGCCTTCGGTCGGAATATATTTTTCCATTGGAGCTTATCCAAAAACTTCTGTCAAGACATGCCCCCCCTGAGTGGACACCATCCCTTTATTTCTAGCACCGTCAGCTGTAACCCTTCAGCATCACAACTCCAGTTACATTGCACATGTGTCATACCCCATAGGTCGCATGGGGTCAAAAACCACGCCCCCAGTTGGCAGTGTAATAAATGTTTCTAGTCTAAAAACTCAAATCAATATACCTGAGTTATGTCACTTTTCAGAGTAAACAAAACTCTTCCAGAGCCAAAGAAGGCATTATTTAACTGTTTTCACTGGAGAACTAACTACGACAAGTAAATTAATTCTGACATGTAAAATCGATGGAAAGCATCTTTAAGGTTACTGATTCTTTGGTCTGCAGCTTTGCTCAAATCACTTATTGTCTCAATTTCAAGATATTTCTGTTTAGTTTAACTTTTCTTACACTAGTGTTATGTATGTTTGTTTGAATCAATGATTTAAGATTGTGTGTTTGTTAGAATATAAAAATAAGTGTAAATGAAACAGTTGTTTAACACATCAATGCAGTCGTTTTTAATAGACGTACAGTGATAGTAAACACCGCAGGAGAAACAAAAGAAGCTAAAACAATAGAATTTCCGGTATGTCTTTACTCACACATACGTCATCATAGCTTATCAACTGAGGTGTGTAAAACAAACTCTTTACTTTCCCCTTAACACTGGGAGATGATTATCACCCAGCTCTGCTATTCAAAAAGTGGCCAATAATAACAACTGTACTGTCAGAATGGCATGAAGCATGGAAATGACTTGGAATGGAAATTTTGCTATCATCTAAATGAATATCTGCTTTGACCTTTGACCTCTGACCCCTGCCTGAGCCTTTAACTCTAATCAGGCATAAAACAAAGAGCAAAGATGTTTGGCTTGTTTGTTTCTTCTTTTTTCCCTACCGAGATCACAGTGCAAGGACTTGTTTGTGTGTTGTAAAGCCAACACAGTTCCTCCATTCTCTCCTTCCTGGAGCAAGACTAGCCTTTCCTGTATGAACTGGGCAGGGAGGGGGAGACATGGGAATGTATTGCTCTGACTTGCTCTTGTTGGGTTTGGCTTTGCGCTGGACTGGTTTCCTCTTTCCATGCTTCTCTTTTGTCCTTGGAGCCGTGAAACAGAGTTTATGGAAGCAGCACTCATTGTTTCCATTCAAAGGGTCTCCGAAAAGTGGCTAATGAAAGCAACACTAGCTAACATGCTGTAATGGCAATGTGCACAGAGGCCAGTGGCTCTGACAAGAAATGTTATGAACAAACATTTCAGCTGAAAAATCAAGTGATTGAAATGTGTACACTTACAGTGTACAAGATTTTGGACTTATGATAAAGTGGGAAAATTAACAGCACAGTCAAAACACAGTTTTCAGCATTTAAAGACTACTTTCACACCGATTTGCAGTGATTGTGCAGTAACGTACAGTGGATGAACTGACTAAACAACTAACGATGCTAAACAAGACGTTTAAGCAAGGCAATTAAGCCTACATGTCTTACTTCCGTGAACATGAGAAACTTGAATTCAAAAGGTGTACAGTTGTATTTCTCTGTTTAATAAGGAAAATATGTGTAAGAATATTACTTTTCTTCACATCTTCACACACCAGGCTAACATACAAAGAATTGTTACTGAAAAATCTGTCCCTCTTCCACCTCTGCATTAGCTTTAAATCATGTGTGGACACCTACTAATTCAAGTTGACTTTTCACCTGAAGAGCTGATCTCCAGAGCTATGACTCGCCAAGAAGTAAACTTTTTGGCCAGTCTTTATAATGACAGGATTGTGAGATGTTTCGCTTGGTGTATTTCTCGACCTCAACGAGTCTTTCCTCATCACACACAAGACACAGAAACAGCAATAGAGTTTTCATTATGCATCCATGTTGAGAAGTTGAACTGAGCTGCCATAGGAGCAGAGAAAAAGAGCTGCTACAGGAGCTGATATGTACAAGCAGAGAGAGAGAAGGGGAAAATGCTTTTAATTCTGGGGTGGAAATAGGACTGTGGCGTGAAGTGCCACTGGGGGATGCGCCGACACGGGTCTAGCTGCTACCGGTGTGTGGTTGTAGATCGAAAACAATAAGCGCATATTTTTTGATGCACGCAGTTCGCCGCCAATATGTTTTGACCTTAACAGAGTTTGTGGAAAGTATAAATACTGTAGTAAGTTTGTAAAATTAGATACTGCCCAAGCCTGACTTCAGATAACAATATTTTATATGTTTTGTTTGTTTTTGAGTCATTATGACTTAAATTCAACCCTGATTTTGACTTGGTCTTCACTTAATCTCAAAACTGCACTTACTTATATTTGTCTCAGATTCTACTTCAGTGGTCTTGGCATTAGCTCTGTTTAAGGCTATACTACAAAAATAACCAAATTCACAAGTCAGTAAGTCTCTCAATGCATTTTAAAAACGTTCGATGGCAATGATGACAAATGAGTACAACTGCCAAAAATTAATCTTGTTTTAACATACAATAAAAAAAATTCAAAACTGAGAAAAATCTTGCTTCCAGAACAATTGGAACTGTTGCATCTCAGCCTTTTTTTGCACTTCAATAAAATATGTAAAATATGTTAAAAATCCAAACTTTATGAATGAATATCTAACCAAATGACCTGCAATGGAGCTTTTTACAGACACAGAGATACATTTTTACAGTCACACACATAAACATGCCTAGTACTGGGAGGAGGACAGTACAGGAGGCTGAGACAGAGTAACCAGAGGTCAAACACAGAAAGACCACCACTTGGTACTAAAGGCACAAACAGATCAGGCAAGACAGCATCCAGACATGCTCAGATGATACCAAATCTCAGGTTTTCTTACCGGTTCTTCTTCTGAGTGCTTGAAAGTAAGCAAAGGTCAAAGGTTAGTGGTGGAACTGAAATTCAGGAACTGCATCGGTCCACAAGGTTCCATCCTACTTTTGCCTTATTGTTTTGCAGTTTATTTCACTTAACTCTAGCATTATGAAACCTCACCAGATCTTGATAAATGTATCCTGTTTCAGGTCAGGGTCGTGCCACAATGTTGGGTAAAGCTTTGGGCTGAGGTTGGGCTTCCTTCATCTGTTTTCAGATCTAATTAATTAAGACACTTGTTTTTCTCCAACTCCCTGGTAAGCCAACAGTCAATAGCGGATAAAAAAAAAGCAAAATATAACTCTGAGTCCCCGCCAGGCTCGAATCTTAAATTTGGCACCATTTGGATTCAGTTGGGTTGGATATTAAAGGATGATATTAAGTTCAGATTTTCTTGCTAATACAATACTCTCATGCCATATATATGTTGAGTTATTCATAAAAAATATTTAACTGGGAAAAGCCTAATTAAAATTAAAGGTCACCTTTACACTAAGACAGGCAGCAGCCAAATTGTGGGTCACTGTAATCTACACAAATCAAGTGTGCATCTATTTTCCAAAGTTAGTCTTTTAACATTATATTGCCCCTTTTAAAATAACAATACCAGTACCAGTACCGTTAAAGGGATAAGGCAGATTTATACCTGTGTGTCAGCTCTATGCAGAGTATACGCTGTGGCCTATGCACATGGTCTACACCGTTTTACGCATTTATACTTGTACAATGGTGTGTCTGTGACACTGCAGTTATATCTCCAAACACTAGGGTTTCTGTGAAGTGCTGTTAAGTTTAGTTGATTCAATACAAAAGACAAGACATTTTCTCCACAAATATAACCTGCTAATGTTATTAGCACAAGCCTATGGCAATTTTCATTGTATAAATTAGCTAGCAGCTAGCAGAGATTTCCTCTACTCATATGAAGCCAGGGAATACAGCAACATTTAACAATGGTAACATTACAAAATTCAGCTCCATTACAACTCACAAGGCTCACCGACAAAACAACAGCCTTATACTAAACATGTTTGATTTGCCAAACAAATCAGCATGCTAACGTTATTAGCACAAGCCCATGGCAGTTTACATTGTATAAATTAGCCTAGAAACTAGCGGACTTTTCCTCTACTCATATGAAGCCAGGATAAATTACACATGACTTAAATGCTGTTTTGTGGGAGCTTTATTGTCTCCACAATTTATTATGTCTTATAAGTGAAATAAAAGTAAATAAAAGTTTTGTTTCTACTGAGGGTAATGGTTTTCAGCTTACAAAAATAGACAGGAGGTCTGCATCGCCACAGCGTGTAGTTACATTTCTGGGGAGGTGCACATCAGGCTACGACATGGGTTCTATTTGACACAGAAGTATAAATCCCACTATACTGATACCAATAGAATACTTCATTCGATACCCATAATGTGAATGGAGTGGCATGTTAGTAAAGCCATGCTTTTGAATGTTTTGGTGGCATCTCGGTATGCTGAACCGTCAACTCTGTTAAATACAACTTCCTCGACTTCACCACACTATAGAATGTATGGGTTGTGGCTAATGCTGTGAGAGCTATGAGCTCCGCACCAGGGACAGAGTCCTGTACACACACAGTGACAGGGCTAACTATTAGCATTACACAGCCAACATTACCTAATGGTTAATAATGGGTTTAACGACAGAGTTGAGCCGTTTCAGTGTCAGTGTGAGTTTGTTGGGACCACTTCCCAGTGGATGTTGGCGCTGCTGTTGTGTTAGCGTATGCTAACCAGGCAGACTCGATGGGAGGACAGTGGCTCTGAGGACTGGAACAACAAAAAATCTGCTGAGGTGTTATTTTACTGGAGACTTTTTGATACTACTTGGTACTGGGTTATTGTGAGTGATACCTTGAAGGTATGGAGTACTGAAATCCTCTTTGCGTTTCATTGTTGAGCTACAGTGGAGGGATCCAGTATGTCTTGGAAGTCACATGCGGATTTGTTGCCAAAACACAATGCAGGAATACACTTACAGGAGACTGCCAGACTGGAGATACTCAATTGATTAGACTAATTCAGGTTAATGAAACCTTTTATGAGCTTCAGCTGAACTTCGGAATGTGCTTCTGCGACGATCAAAGATGGTAGATTTTATGTTCCATCTCTTACAATGTAGTCATGTTAAGATGGTATCATTTCACAGCAAGTATAAACAGGAAGAAAGATTACAGTGACCCACAACTTGGCCTAAATATGGCATATGTGTATTAGGATAAACTTGAAAAAAAACTATCATTAAAGATGTGCATATGGGACCGTGTAGAACTGTACAGCACACCTCAAACTATGAACTAAGGTGCTGCCCTAATCCAGCGCAACGACAGGTGAATACGTTGAAATTCATCAAATAACCAGCACTGCTAGAAACCACTGATTAGAAGTTCAAAGGTCAGTGTTCAAAAGAGCTACAGAAAACACAAAAAAAAGGAAAAAAGAGATTTTCCCCCCCAAATACCTGTATCAGCCAATTTCCCTGGATGTTTACATTTTCTGTAGCTTTCAGTAAATTGTCCAACTTCATACTTTTACAGTCTCTTGCTACTCCCAAAATTATGAAACGTTAAATTCCATAACCCAGCTGGTAAGTAATGGCTACATGGAATATCATACATTTGGAATTTAAATGCAGTCTTATTACATTACAGTTACATAATGTGTTATCACAAAGTAAACACTCTGAGATTTAGTGTGCGGGAGACCGGGGAGACACCAAACCTCTGAGTCACAGATAAAAAAAAAAACTGGGTGGTATTTTCATAAATTCCACTCACTGGTTCTCATGAAAACCACCTTGCTGTTTATGTTTCTGAAATGGAAAATACATCCCTTATCTGCTCCAGTCCTTCCCTGCCCTGCCTCTCTCTGCCTCTCACGCTGTTGTACCCACATTGCCCTCATCTCTTGTTACTACTCAGGAGAAACGACTGCACTCTGATATAAAGGTACAACAGGGAGTAAAGCATGGCACTGGTGAATGAGCTGAGAGAGATCATTTTCATTAAGTACTGTTTAAGTTATACGTTTTTGATAGTCTGAGGTGGAACTGCTCGAAGTATGCTGACCTGAACATATCTATTAACTACTTTTCCGATGTTTTTGTGTCTTAGTGACTAATAAGAATATCAGTTTTTGAAATTGTTCAGTATTGAGCAAAAGTGCAGTAGCTAGCAGCCCTGAAACAGGCTGCGACGTAACCCCTTAAGGGCATGTTTGCGCTGTCAATATACGTATGTAAAGTGCTTGTTTTTGCCACTGACAGACTCAGGTTGTCATTTTAAGTGTCTGATGACATTATAAAAAGGATCCCTACAGAGATAGACCTTTTTGTTGAGTAAAATCCTTTTTGTTTCTCAGAGACAGACCCAAAATCGCTATAGCCAAACCAATCAAATAAATCGTGCTTTAATTATAAAGGACACCACATGCTTGTTTGTGAGCCCGAATAGAAGTAAATGTAGTGCAATGACAAACACCGTTAGGGTGTTTGAATAGCATGGCCACCTCACCAGAAAAAAAAGCTAACATGGTAGTCTTTGCAACAAAAAGCTTTGAAATGAAGCACTTATATATACAAACAGGCGCTATCTTAAATCCAGAAACAATCAGAATCAGAAGTGTTAAACTGTGCCCCAAATCTGGAGCTGAAATAATTAGTCAACGGCAATTATGATACTTGATTAAAGGATTCAGTCATTTGTAACATACTCATATGCAATATTCTCAAATGTGAGGCTTTTTTTTTGGGAGGGGGGGGTTCCTTATCCATTGTGAGGGTCCAAAGCACAGAGGGATGTCTTATGCTGTAAAGCCCTAAATTGTGATTTGTGATATTAGGCTTTATAAATAAAATTGATTGATTGATTGATTGATTGATAACTTGTAGGCTGTCAAAGGAAGCTGACATGAGGAAGAACTTTTAATGTCTGCTAAGCTGCTGGGTGAATGTTTCAGTACCACACTGCAGTGTAATCTGCACACAAAACATCATTGAACAAGGCCCAGCAGGTACAAGGTCATTGCTGAGAATGTAGAAAATCAAAATAACCAATCAAATTAAAGATGCAGCAATCCTTCTTAGTTTATGACAGTCTACGTAAAGTGAGTCAAAAAGCTACTATCAAAGTCAAATAGTCAGGTTTAGAAAACTGGAAAACAAATCTGTTAATTTTCAGAACATAAAGAAACAATCTCTGTGACACCCTTCATCTGTAACATAAAGATAACAAAGAGAATAGTCCATATATAATCGTGAAAGCACAGTTAGCATAATCCAACTAAAATTAAACATAATTAAGTTTCGGTAGAGGATGGAATTTGAATCAGTGATGTTTGGTGATATTTCATGGGCTCACCTCATCTCCTTCCTCTGAGTGCTGGGAGAGCTGGTCGTGGTCCATGATGCCAGCCTCGTCCTCCGTGGGCCCGTTGCCCACCCGCACCCCTCCGAACTTCTGCGTGCCCTGTTGGGTGAGTCCGGTGCATGATGAGGACACGCCTGTTTGCTCTAAAGACTGCTCTAGATTCTCTGCAGGGGTTTCTTCCCTCTTCTGGGACTAGATACAAAAGCCACAAGAGCTGTGTCTAGCTTAAAGCAAGCCTCAGGTTGAACGCTTTCTTCTTCATTTACTTCAGTTTTTTATAAGTAACAGGGCACCCATAACAGTGAATGGAGGTTTTCATTCCAAAATGAAAGACATCCACTAGTTGTGAAACATGACACTGCTCACTGGTTTAGCTGAATCTCAACAAACACAGTTGTAAAGTACAGCGTATAACTGTAAAACTTTAAATGGCAAAGAAGAAATTTTGGTTTAAATATGACTTCAACATTTCCTGCCGGGTCATCGAGCTACCAGCAACATCCTGATCCAGACTAGTACTTGAGTACTTGTCTAAAAAAAAAAATGTATTAACTTGACAGCAGGCTAGTTAACTCTGGTAGCTAATTTGGATCGGAATGGTAACTAGCTAATAACTAGTTAATTTTTGATAACTTGAATTCTTAATGTTAATACTGTATTAACACTTTAAATGGGACTGGTGCATTGTCAAGTGTGTGATGCTTGCCATGGTGAGCTTAAGTAAGCTAACCATTTTTAACAAATGGCATCACAGCAATATAAATTGATAACCTTTTTTCCACAATGAGAATGAGACAAAAAACAAAAAAGCAACCTTTGAAAACAAAAACTATTACAAAATGAATTACTATTTTATTCAATTCATAACAACTATAATGTTAAAGACTTAGATTGGACAAATCTTACTCAAAGACCTGCATGCAGCTGTGGGATCACACATTGTAGGCTGCTGACTGGTTGAGCAATGTCCTGCACCACCCAAAATGTCTTTTCTTAAAGGTCTAGAATGTAGGATTCAGTGGCATCTAGTGGTGAGGCTGCAGACTGCAACCAACTGAAACTTCTCCCATGTGACAATCATGTATAAGAATTACGGTGGCCAACACAAAAACATGAATGGCCCTTTCTGGAGCCAGGATTTGGTTTGTCTGTTCTGGGCTACTGTAGAAACAACTCAGCAGACTAGGCGGACCTGGTCCATATGTAGATATAAACAGCTCATTCTAAGGTATCGAAAACACAACTATTCTTATTTTCAAGTGATTGTACATATATATTCCATTTCTGCCAGAATTTCCCCCTAAATCCTACACACTGGAACTGTAATTTGTGTATGCTTCATGATGCATGTTTATATTCCAGTACATTCAGAACCTGATGGCAACTTATGTTAGCAGTTAAAAACGTTACTGATTTATGGACGGAATTCTTCTATAACCCTACTGGAATTCGACATGTAGCAGCAACAAAAAAGTTGAGACAAACTGCAAATGCATGTCCACAGCACACAAAAGCTAACACCACGTAATAGAGGTGGGGGAAAAAAATCGATACAAAATAATATTGCGATTTTTTTGTTTGGCAATAGCGTATCATCACACAGTGGTAAGTATTGATTTTTTTATTATATAAATTATCTATATTACAATTCAAATTCATCTTTAGGAACCCTACTAGAATAATATAATAGGTTACTTTTTCAGTCCACTAGATACATTTTGCTGCAAAAAAAATGGCTGAAGTGAGATGAACAGACTTTAACTTTATCTTATTAGATAAAACAGATGTTGACAAAGTTTTCCTTTGGAGATATAATTTACAATTGAAAAAAGGTAACAGATTGCAATATATCACAATGTATTTTATCACAACACATATATATCAATGGCTGTGGATGTAAATCTCAGAATACTCAGACTTAAATTTCACTGACCAAACTTCTTTAGTTTTGGTTGACTATAACTATAATCAACTTACTAAAATGTTTCAAAAGCTCATAATTTTTTTTTTTGTTAAAAGACCAGGTGCCAAAATTTACACTGACTAGCAATCCACTTACAAAGTCAATACCATGACAGTGAATTGATTTATGGACTCTTCTCATGAAGATGGTAAACATAACCATAATTCTTTATATATGGTGCTGATCTTAAGTCTGAAGGGACTGCATTTTTTGAGGTTTAAGACAACCAGTGAAAGCAATGAAAGTGTCAGGCTGATATATCAGGTATTACAAGTAATTCACATTTGTTGGATATGAAACGTTTTGGGTGAGAACTTATCAAATGTTCAGGTAGAATAAAAGCCTACACATGGCAGATCATCAGCTGTTAGGGTGCCTTCAGTCTGTGAAATGTTTCACCAAATTTGCCACCAAAATAAGAGCGTTTCCAAGGCAGGCTTTAAGCAGTTTTCATGGCAACACAACCAACCACATTACACAATACAATGTGCATTGAAATGAATGGCAGAATAGGGGTGAAAAAAAAGGTTATACCAAAGGTTATAAATGTTATTCATCAAAGGTGGCAGAAAGGTTATAGGTGGGGTCAGATCCACATACCAGGTGCTTTTTCCACAGGTGCTGACGCCGAAGCACCATAGTTTTCACAATCAGCATACAGGGAACACATGCAAGGGCAATCAGCACCAACAAAACCTGGATCCCCATCTACAGATTCAAACAGAGAGAGGTTAACAAGAAGTTGGTGGTATGTAGCAGTGATCAGAAGATGCTAATTCCCTGAACTGGCGAGGCCTAACTCAGTCCTCCCTCTCGCTGCTGGTACAGAAAGAAATAAAGCATTGTCTTCGTTTTGTGTTATTCTCAACCAAATAACAAGCTTTCCTTTGCTTTAATGCAAAATAGGTATTTCTTTACAGTTAGTTGTTGTTTTAATCTAACAATAGTAATATGCTGATCTGAGGACATGACAGATATATCAGATTTTGGAAACAAAGAATAAAGGCTGATTGATTACCTCCACATTTCGACTAGCTCAAGTTGTTAAAACAAGAGCAGAATTTTCTTGTTTACAATTCATAGAAACAGTTTTGCTTGTACATAGACATTGTATGTTATTAATTGATGCATTTTATATATTTGCATCTATTTTTTAATAACTTGTAGATACTTAATAGTTCTTTGTTTATTTTTACCTATTTTTGTTCAGCTCTGTTGTCCTTAGGAGTTAATTAGGAGTAAATTCCTTGTATGAGTATAGCTCAACAGTCACATTCTTAAATATTAGGAGCTGTTGTGGATTATCCAAGCAGCAATCTGTCTGAGATTGCTAAGCGACCATAACCAGCACTGTGTCATAGCCTACTTACCAGCAGAGCTCATCTTCTTCCAGGCACTATTTTTTAAGTGTGTATTGGGCCTAAAATAATGTCTGTGAGCCAGATGTAAAGGTTTGGCAGCCCTGAATTAAAATGATGACTTTACTCTTCATATTTACCACAGAATCCAAAAGTTGTACTCTGCACATCTCAGGGACCAGCTATTGCACCCTCAAAAATAGGTGCTTGGGAAAGCCTGCGACCTGCTCTGGTGTTGCTGTAGCATTTGAGCGCACCTGCCACGCAGCTACATTGAAAACAATGAATTTGAGGGTGCAAAAAAAGCAGCATGTGCCCCTTAGAGTTAGTGCCACCCTCTCTTTAATAATAAGATCACTTCTGGCTCCAAAAATCCAAGATGGTGACGTTCAAAATACTGAACACCAGGCCTCAATTCAGGAGTCCACAAACAAGTAATAAGACATTGGTGGTAAGGTCATGGTGGTACATATAGTCCTGTTTGAAGTTAAGGAAGTTAACCATAGGTGCATTTTCTAAATCAAGCACTCCGTCCTCCTCCTCAAAGCCTTTTCTCTTTGAAAACTAAAACACATAGCTTAAAAACACTCACAATAAAGCAATATTCTCACCTTTGTGCAACTTGTCCATTTAAATTTTGGAGTGGAATGTAATGGTGTCATTGCTGCCTCCTGTGGCTGATTGGAATAAATAACCCACTGCAACTGAAGTTCAGTGGTTTGTATAGCTGGTGAGAAAAGCACTCAAAAACTCCCTTGGACAAACTGCATAAAGGTAAAAGTGCTGAAGCCTTTTCAAACAGTATATTTTGGTTTTATGAAAAGAGGCTTCAGGGATGGTTGGCTGGTTTGGAAAATGTTCAGATGGTTAACTTTTGCACCTCTTAAAATATGTAGTGCACAGATGCTTCAATGCGCACATACATTTATAGTATTTTTAATGACTAATAACTATATATACTATTGTTGTTTGCTATGAGCTGCTGTGCACCTCTCTACCAGGGTTTAACTATACTGGTAAATGAGGAAGGGACAGGAAGCTGGGAGAGGCAGAGGGGTGGATGATGGATGGAGCACCTGTCCCCTGTAGAGGGGCTTGCTGGTGGGGTCGTTGTAGTTGAACAGACACATGTTGATGAAGTGGATGAGCAGGCTGGGCGCATCCTTGGAGGTGTATGCGTCATAGGCTGTCCACTTGTAGAAGACCAGCAGAACGAGGTAGCCAAACAGAGTGGACATGAAGACGATCTCTGGGATGAAGCCCAGGAAGATGTTCAGCGGCTTCTTGAAGTATCTGTAGTGCAGAGAAGTCAGCTTACAACCAGGATAATTGTTTCATCATACTCCACCTGTTTCAAGGGTTTTGTTGTAGGGACAATGTAGTCATAAGAAAAACTGTATTTAATGCATAATAAAAAAAAAAAGTTCCCATGACTCTTTGAAGGAGTACAGTACTGACAAAAAATGCAGACATTATTTAAAACTTCATGTCTCCTGTACTCTTTACTCTTCTTGCATCTTCTCTTCTGTCTCCTCATCTGTCTCCTCATCTGTCCCTTTCTAAGGTCTCCTGTCCTCTTCCATCCCTATGTACAATCCACGTCCCCTCTCTGTCTATCAAGGTAAACAAACACTAAATAATTATATGAATTATGTAGCAGTAATATGTTTATGTTTACTGCCTCGTAGTTGTATGCCTCCATGCACCAGTCAATTTGCAGTTGTAGTTATATCCATGTCTGTGAAAACAACACACATCTTCCCCCCCGGCAGCACAGAGGATCTATACAAGTAGCACAATTTCAAGGTGGACACCCAAGATGAGTGTCACCAATTCAGTATCTGACCCAAATGTTTCTCCTTCTGTTTCTAAAATATAGCGTTGATTAATGGCCAGAAAAGATACATATTTTCTTTATATAAAATGTAATGACTTCATTATTTCATCCTATTAGATATTTCTGTGCGATTTTGTTATGATTAGTGTGAGAATTCTTGCGTTTTGGCCAAAAACATGTTTTGTGAGGTCACCGTGACCTTGACCTGTTACCTTCAACCACCCAATGTTAGCAGGTCATCACTGAGTCCAAGTGGATGTTTGTACCAAATTTGAGGAAATTCCCTCAAGACGTTCATGATAATGAGATAGAAAAGGTCACAGTGACCTTGAACTTTGACCTCTGACCAACAAATTCTAATTAGTTTATTGTTAAGTCCAACTTGACGTTTGTGTCACATCTGAAAAAAATTCCTTAAGCATTCTTGTGATATTACATTCACGAAAATTGGACAGATGGACAGACGTACATACATATGGATGGACAACCCAAAACAGAATGCCTCTGGCCATGGCTATCGCCAGCTGTGAGGCATAAAAATTGCATTATATATAATTTAAAAATTTATAATGTATATTCTAAGATGAACATACCAGGTTTGCAGAAGAACAACAAACAAATTGCACAGCAACAACAACCATGCATGTGTTGAGGAAGTGAATCAGATGATTGATCACAGAATGGTTTGTTCTCTTATGTGATTTTTCTTGCAGTAAAGATTTTGCTGTTGAGGCCACAGGAAGCACTGAATACACCTATTAAATCTGAGCACAAGAACTCAGGGAGCTTACTTTCTGTGTAAATTACCTAAGGTATGATGGTAAGCCTGATTTCAGAATCTCTTCCCAAATGGATTTAAGTGAAAAAAATGGAGGGAGAAAATCCAATAATATCATCTGTTTGTTTGACACCATTGGTACATTTTCTAACAAAACAGAAATTGGCGTGTTGAAAACCTGTAGACAAACAGACAAAAACCTCAAACAATTTCAAACTACATAAAAGCTGGCACAGAACATATATAGTACCACTCACATGACAATTGATGGCAGTTAAAGTTTTAAAGCCTCAGTGGGCTTCAAATAACGTCCTCCGATGGCATCTGCCAGTTTTTTTTGCAACAGACTGTCTGACTTGCCCATGTTTTAAACTTCTCTTTCAAGTTCTCTTTTTTCATCTTTACCCAACTACTTTCCATCACTTTGCGTGCAAACAAATGAGAAAAACGCTGTCCAGAATTGTGCATCATTATCTCCATTTGTATGATTCATAACATACAAATCACCCCTCTCGCAGGCTTTATGTCACTCCAATGAGTGTGGTCGCTCAAATCGGGTTGAAACCCTTAAGCCTGTAATACATTTTCAGCATTACTGTTGAGTGGGGTACTCACAGGTGGTTGAAGAGACTGAGAGATACTCCAAACAGCATATGGATGACGCCCAGGATTACGGACATCTTCATCTTGAATGAGTTCAGGAAGGTCAACTTGTTGGTAGCAACATTCCAGATCTGCAGAGGTTACACAGCAAGGTTCAGTGTTTGAGACCAACCAAGGTGTGACTGTTCCTTATCTTTCTTTTTTGCACTAACTATTTTTTGTCATTCAGCCTACTGGTTCCTGCTGCAGATGACAATTTTTAAAAACAACCCACAAATATAATATATTTTCTTATAGTTTGCCTTTAAAAAAGGCTAGGCAAGTTCCCAAAACAGCTGGCCACTGTAGTTTTTAACAAACATTTCTCAAAAAGGAGAAAAAAGTGCATTTACTGGAGACTATTTTCAGCAGTGGATTAATCCACATTTGGTGCTTTAAGTCAGTATTTGTGACAGCAGGATGGCCTAGGTGAGATGTAGGTAAATTACATTACAGTATATGTTCAAAAAAAAGAAGGAACATGTCACCCAGTGTAACAATGTCGCTCACTGGTGTGTTTTTAATCGTTTTTTGACAACAATACAGCTTTATGGCACAGAGGAAGAAGATATATCAGGTTTTGATACACACACACAAAATACATTGTTCACACTGTTATTCCAACCAGGGAAAACAACTGCTGGCTATTTTGTTGTTGTTGTTGTTGTTTTTTAAGTAGGCAGATTTTACCGGATCAATTCCGAGTGGATAAGGCCCGTTGAACACACCAGGAACAGCTGGGTCTAACTGGAGAACTGCATTTTCATCAAGGGTCTCAAACCTAGGACAAATCAGCAGGACATGAATGAATGTATTGAAATAAATCAGAAGAGATTGTATAGCAATACCCTTTAGAACATGAATTAGCCACAGAGATCGTAGTTTGTTATATGATGCCAGAACAGAGAGTGGGTAGATAATACCTGAATGGATCTGACTAGTGTAAGAAGGTTCCTATGTGATAATGCAAAATTGAATTGCCTGTGGATATCTGAATCTCTAACTGTTTATCTAACAGGTCTGTAATTATCTATTTATCTTCTTGAAAGGTTCCTGGAAACTTGAAAATAGAGACAGTGTTCAATTTACACTTGCAGTTAGTTGCTACTGTAGCCTAAAGAGTCTTTTAAAAAGAGCACACTTGGATAACTAGATGTGTAAAACTGTGTATTATTTCTCGACAAACAACAATTTATCCATCCACCCAGCTCTTCTGTACAGTGTCTCTGGCTGTTGCGCAGGTTAGTCCCCTATTGGATCACAACAAACCTTTTGCAAAGACTCTCAAGTAATTTCAGTTTTGAACAACACGTCACAAAGCTTTGGTAGTGTTTTTATCATAGAAATATTTCAAACATATGATCTGTCTTAACTTTTGAAGACACCAGAGAGCATTTCACAAGTCTTCATCTAATCATGTCTGGAATACTGCAATAGCCTCTTTTCTTGCATGAATCAAAAATCTTTTGATCAACTCTTGATAGTACAGTACTTTACAGCAGAAATAAGCACGTGTAATGCATGACACAAAAAATGGTTTTGGTCTATGTAGCTTATTTCTACATTATGAAAACTGCACAGGGGGTGAATTTTTATATAACTCACCCTTTACATTTTATTGAAACTTAAAGCTATGCATATTTAAGGACGGGCCGCTTAAGGTGAAAGGCTGTCTGCTGATAGTGTCCTTGGCTTCTCAGTCAGATCCACCCCTCCCTCCTTTACAGCTCCAGCCTCTCGCTCAAATATGGTCACTTCTGGCTCCAAAACAATAAAATGGTGAAAGCCAAAATGCCGAACTCAAGGCTTCAAAACGGGAGTATACAAACCAATGAGTGATGTCACCGTGGCTACGTATGTCCATTATTTTTACAGTCAACGTTTAGAATAGATTTTAAAGTTTTACTTATTACTTTTAAGGCTCTTCATGGCCTCTCTCCCTTCTATATCTCTGACCTCTTAGTACTGTGCACGCCAGTATGACTTTGGTCACAGAGGTCATGGAGTAAGTGATCTCTTTTGAGTCCCTTCTTAAAATATACTTTTATTCGTGAAATAAAATTTCCTTTGAACTGTTTTTTATTTCCTCAGTTATCATACACCAATTTTTTTTTTATGTTGTCTTTTAATTTGTTTTGATTTTGTGATTTGTCACAGGATTTTTTTGACTGCCTTCTGAAGCACTTTGTAACATTTTTGAAAAATGGCCTATAAATAAAAATTCTTCTTCTTCTTATTATTATTGTAGTGGGCAGGTCAGGGAGCACAGGTTGTAGTTCATGTTTCTTCTGTACACACATGATGATACCAAACCTCACTGTGAAACCAAGACTTCAGGAAGTCACTGTGCCTGCCTGTGGTTTGGCAAGAAATGGTTCCAGCATGTAACTTTCTCAAAACCACAAACTCTCATTTGTGGCAGCTTGTGTACAGATTAAACATATATTCAACGTGGTAATCCCTGAGCTTTAGTGGTGTTGGTTGGTGTATTTCTTCACTTTGGTTAAAACCAGGCTAGCTGTTTCCCCCTGCTTCCAGTCTTATGCTATGCTAGGCGAACCACGTCCTGACTTCAGCCCTGTACTTAATACACATCTACTTTATCCATTGCTTTGTGGCAGAGAAACTAGATGAACTTGAAGAAAACATAAGCCAGGAAAAAAATATTGTGGGTCATCTCAAACAGTATCAGTCCAAGCAGAGTTGGTGGCTGACTTACGACCAGTTGGCTCCTTTGGGGCCAAACATGGGCCTGACGCTCCATCCAGAGCCGAACATGTTGAGTGACTTGGAGAAGCAGTCGTTGTAGATGATTCCAGTGTACATGGAGAAGATCCCCATCAGCAGGATGATGTAGCGACCAGCAAACACCATGTTGAACATCTACAGAGTCACACAACAACTAAAATATCATATGTGTATGTTTCTAATATATGTACTGTATGTAAAGCTTTTAATTACTGTATATTACTTGTGTATGTCTAACTGTACCTCGTTGTCACGCTTCTGGGCGAGGAGGCGACTCTCTCGGATGACCAGGTAGAGAGCAGCGCAGGTCATCAGAAGGCCATGACCCATGTCACCAAACATCACCGCAAACAGGAAGGGGAAAGTAATGATAGTGTATGGAGCTGTAACAGGTAACACAAAGGAAGGGACTGTTACACAATGGGGCTCAAACAATCAAAACACTCACATATTCAGTCAGTCAAATATCGATCTGTACTGACTGCTGACATTTCCAAGCTTCAAGAAGATGCAAATGTTTTGTATATCAGGGATGTGCTGAATCTCTGGCAAATGACAATTTGTACAATGTACTGAGTGCGTTTACTGTATTTACCCGTCCATACTGAGATAACAATATTTAATCAGTGCAGTAGAATATTGGATTTGCAGTACATTTACTATTTAAAATGTACTTTATACAAGGGTTTTGTCTGCATAATCTATGTAAGAAAGCTGAGAGAAAATAAGATGTTGCGTTTAAAGGTTGACCAGTTTCTAAGGAAAAACTGATTTTTCTTGACGGGTACCTTAAAAGCCACAAATTCTACTTCTCAGGGCCATAATTGTTGGCCAACAGAAACAGAAAATGGTTGGTATAAAAGGTTCTTTCAACAATTCTCATTTTCTGTTTTTTAAATATGCTACTGTCTATGAAACCTGATTCTTCTGGCAGATATTCCACAGTAAAAGCTTACCAGGATATGGAGGGATATTTGTGTTTGAAAGCAGCTTAAAGGCTCTTAAGAAGTTGAATTATTGATGGTAGCTTTACAATTTAAAAAACATGCAAAACGGCTTTAGCATTATAACAGTTAACGAAGTGCTATGTTTAAAATTGGATACTTCTGTTAGTACCCTCACATTCAGTACACTGTGGACGCTATGTACTTACTTGTGCACACAATTTGACAGGGCAGTGTCAAATAAAAGACAGCTGCTACACACTTGACGGAAATGACAATCGCAAGATTTTCTTCTTCTGCTTATGAATCGCAATCAGGTGGAGCGTTGTCGCCAACAGTTGACATTTTTCATTCGCCAAAATATATGATTGCTTGTTTAATCATTTGGCATCTTATGCATTCATTTATTTATTGTATCAAAAATGAATGCACTTTCATGGCACATTTGTATTTGAATATCCATGGCTGATACTGCCTGGCTCTGTTGCCAGATAATCTACCGAGTTAATGATGGCTGCCACATTTTGCAAATATTTACAACTTCTCTAGCATCTGACCACAAATCTAATACTACAATCCTTTACAGTTAAGACAATAATTAAACATGCATAAACACCAAATGTAACTACATCCGTAGAGCGTATAGCTTACGACACAACACATGTAACGTTGGTGCAGATGACAACTTGTGCCACTGTTAGCTAGTTAGCAAGCTCATGTTAACATTCGTTTTACCGTTTGCGGTACCAAATTATTACACAGTTAACCCAATAAACAAAGCGATGGCTTATATTATTTTATCCCCTTGCACTATGTACGCAACATGGTGATCATTGAGAGTGAGAAGTGTCCAGCGTTCCACACATAACTTTTTGCTGCTGTGAGTGCATCATCTAGGTACTTAAAGTGCACTGCATTTCATTATATCCACTCTCTCATCCAAATATGGTCACAAGATAGCGATGGCCAAAATGCCACACTCCAGCCCTCAAAATCTGAGTCCACAAACCAGTAGGTGACATCAAAGTAGCTATATCTATGATTATAAAGACTATGGCAGTGATACTCAGCTTACAGTCCGCAGGCCAAATCTGGCCCACAACAGGTTGCTAAGTGGCCATTTTCTAATACACAGTGTAAACAAACTGATTCACAATGGGAATTAATTTGTACTTTGATTGTAAATAAGGTGCCAGAGTGCATAAAGACGCATCAAAATTGAGCTTGTTCAAAGATATCTTTTTTAAAAAGTGCCTAATTATTTAAGTTTTAAGTTTAAGTTTATTTACTTTATTAATCCCCCTGAGGAGAAATTCAATGTTTTCACTCTTGCTTATATCAGTTGTTAATGTTTGTTTATTAACTGGACCTGAGCTGAGTATCCCTGGTCTGTGGTTTTCACTGAATTTGATAAAGTTAAAGTATTCAAAAGACCACAGAGTTAATAAATTCAATTATAGATAAATGAATTCCTGTCTAACCTGGATTGATTTCCCGGTAGCTCCCAATGCCGTAGGCGTCAACGATGTTCTGGAAGCCTGACGTGAACTTGTTGGTCTTATTGAAAGTAGGTGGAGTTTGCTTGGTCTGCATCCTGTTGAGAATGGACGGCACTGTGGAGCCGCTTCTCTCCTGTCAAAGAAAGCCCTCATATTTCAGTCACATACCACCAATGATGTAAGGATAAGGCCAGATGACTTACAGACACCTCCCCACAACCTCATGCCTCATAGTAAATTCATGTTTGTTTGTTTTTAAGTCAAACTTAACTTAATAATATATATGTTTGGAGTTTTTTTTGGCTTTGGTACTTATATTTCATGACATCATGTTACTCAGTGACTCAGTAGTTTTTCTTGTGATTGAAACTATCAGCTTACTTATGGCATGCTGAAGTTAGAGGACTACCTGTCAGTGTGAGTTTAATTGTTGTCTAATACTTTACAGATGCAATGTGTAAAGGACAAGAAGAGAGAAATATGTCATACCTCTACACTATACAACAAATAAAAAGAATATGGAATTGCTAATGTGATCAGTGTAAATGAATAAGTACACAACCAAACCCAAAAAACAAACAAACTCACGGTCCCCCTGCGCAGAGCGAACTGGATGGAGTCCAGGTCTGAGACGGGACACCACACCTCAGCGATCAGACACTTCTGGGTGACGTCGATGTTGCACAGGTTGAGTGTGTGGTAGATGGCCTTCATCTTCCTCACCTTGATGAACCATACCCGCATGGTCTTGGAGGCAGCCTGCAGCACTCGCTGACGGTGGTCCTCTGTTTGGTTGAGCACCTAAATTAGCAGTGTGGAGTGATTTGGTTTAGATTGCAGATCCTGGTCCAGTCAAAATTTGGATTGGTGGTCTTGACAGTGTTACAGGCTGACCTGAAGCATTGTGTAATAATGATTTCAGTGGTAACCATGGCACAAAAACTGATGGTTTGGTAAGTATTTTTATTTGAATTAATTCTGGTTATTATCATGACTTTTAATTAAAAAAAAAATTATTCCCTTTCCGTTTGTTGTGTTCTATCAGTGTGTGTTCACTGGCCTTTAAGACTAAACTTGCTGCTTACTGTTGTTGTTTTGTGATATGAACATAATATGAGCTAAATGTGTATTATCTGAGACATAAACATGTTGGCAAATTGTAGAAACTAACTGATTTTTCTGTATTGGCTCCCAGACACATGTTTATGCACAGAACTAGATTCTCTATGTAAGCCTGAGAAAAATGCTCTATTGTAGTAGAGTGTAATACATTGTATGCGGTTGGCAGGCTGAGACTCGAGCAGACCTCTGAAGCAGAACCAGGCCTTTTTTCCAGGCTTAATAAGGGCAGACTTGCAGGGAACCACAACACTATGAGACAGGACAAAGGTCTTTCACAGATAAGAACTAATGCACAAGAAAACACCCATCTACATTATGAGGGCTTTTGTGATTTAATTGGAAATACTTTCTTTGAAGGAAAACCTGAACACAGACATCCTGTTGTGCAAAGTTTCTGATTCATTTGTCGTTGTTTAGTGACAGCAGAGTAACAAAGAATACAAAGAGCCTTTGAAAGAGTTATAAATTAAAGAAAAGAACTGCAACTAATGGTAATGTGGCTTAAACGATAAGGCTTAATTCCACGGTCAATCACCTCTATGGTAACTGACTCTCACTTTACTTAATTTTCATTTTCATTAACTTTCTTTTTACACATCCTGTAAAATTCACCTAAATTCACCTGAAACATCTATCTAAGGCATACTCAAAGTACATCGAAAGCTGTTCTTGTTCCATTTTTAGTAAATGAACCTCACATAGTCTAAATTCAAAGTAGATACCAATATCACAGAAAATAAATATTTTCCACATTTTTTTTTATTGGCACTACAAAGAGTGTAGCTTTCAAACGATATGTTGTTTGAGTAAACTACTTAAAAAAGACAAATACAGCAGTTTTTTACATATAATTATCAAAAATCCCCTTAGGAGGGCCTGCGGGTGGGCCGTCAGATTTGTGTCTATAACACTAATGATGAACAAGTGACAAACGTACCATCTGAAGGTCCTCGATGCGGCTATTTACTCCAGCCAGCATCTCCTTCCTTTCCTGTGGGGTCTCTGGACAAGGGTAGAGTGAGGCACGGAACCTGGAAAAATAAATCCACCAACAGAGTCAACTCACGGCATCTAACACAAACTGTACTGGACTCTCCATGTTTCCATCATGTTCCCTTTTTCTTGCTCATGTTTATGATGCGCACATGAATACACCAATTCTTCCATGGTAGCGTGAACAAACAGCAGGGAGAGGATATTTTAAAAGGTAATCCTGTGATTTTGTATTATATTTATCACCAGCAAGTACAGCTATACTGTATACTGTTCAATGAACTACACAATGCAATAAGTGAAAGCAAGTACTGTCGACATAAATTACAAATGCAGCTCAGTATTAATGACTGACAATTTATTCAGACTTCACATGGGCTATCTGCCCTATTGTCAGCTGAATACTTGTGAGCCTTGTTCTGTTGGGGGAGGGGTAGACTTCGAAAATGATTCAATATTGGAGGGGATGTGTGTGTGTCCCATTATATAATTACTCATTTGAGTTGGAGATTTGCAAGTGGGAAAAAAATGGTCAAAATTTGAGAGGCCAAAATATATTGAAAATATTGAATTTTAGTCCCTAATATGACTTGAGTTTCACTAAATCCTGCATTTCAAGAAGCAACTAACGGTATGTTTTTGCTAGACCCAACCTCCCAGACTAGCCTCAGTCCATAACAGGCACATAAATGTAGACAATGCAGGCAGTAAGGTTGCACTGGGTCCTGTGGGGTGGGGTGCGGGGGCCGTGGGTTTCACATGTGGTGAAAGAACTCACATTAAATCTAAAATGGTGCCATTTTATATGGGCTATATGACCGCAAAAATGCAAACCCATCTCTGTCATGATTTTCTTTCCTAGTGGCAATCTATAACATTCATTCATTCATTCATTCATTCTGGACAGGTTGCCATACTATCACAGGGATAACACAGACAGACAGACAGACAGACAGACAGACAACCATTCACGCTCACGTTCACACCTACAGACAATTTAGAGTCACCAGTTAACCTAACCTGCATGTCTCTGGACTATGAGAGGAAGCCAGAGTAGCCGAAGAAAACCCATGCTGACACAAGGACAACATGCAAACTCCGCACTAAAGGGCTCCCCCACCTCAGGGTTTGAACCCCCTGCCTCGGTTTTGAACCAGGAACTCTCTTGCTGTAAAGTGACAATGCTAACCAAAGCACCACCGTTCTGCTAATCTGTGAGAAATGATATGGTTTTTCTACATAAACTATAAAAACTATGAATAGACAATTTAAAAAACCTAGTCAATTAAAATAATAATTTCCTCTTTTCTATTATATTTTTCTCATATACAGGTATGCAATGACAACTGTTGGTAACATGTACAGTACAGGCCAAAAGTTTGGACACACCTTCTCATTCAATGCATTTTCTTTATTTTCATGACTATTTACATTGTAGATTCTCACTGAAGGCATCAAAACTATGAATGAACACATGTGGAGTTATGTACTTAACAAAAAAAGGTGAAATAACTGAAAACATGTTTTATATTCTAGTTTCTTCAAAATAGCCACCCTTTGCTCTGATTACTGCTTTGCACACTCTTGGCATTCTCTCTATGAGCTTCAAGAGGTAGTCACCTGAAATGGTTTTCCAACAGTCTTGAAGGAGTTCCCAGAGGTGTTTAGCACTTGTTGGCCCCTTTGCCTTCACTCTGCGGTCCAGCTCACCCCAAACCATCTCGATTGGGTTCAGGTCCGGTGACTGTGGAGGCCAGGTCATCTGCCGCAGCACTCCATCATTCTCCTTCTTGGTCAAATAGCCCTTACACAGCCTGGAGGTGTGTTTGGGGTCATTGTCCTGTTGAAAAATAAATGATCGTCCAACTAAACGCAAACCGGATGGGATGGCATGTCGCTGCAGGATGCTGTGGTAGCCATGCTGGTTCAGTGTGCCTTCAATTTTGAATAAATCCCCAACAGTGTCACCAGCAAAACACCCCCACACCATCACACCTCCTCCTCCATGCTTCACAGTGGGAACCAGGCATGTGGAATCCATCCGTTCACCTTTTCTGCGTCTCACAAAGACACGGCGGTTGGTACCAAAGATCTCAAATTTGGACTCATCAGACCAAAGCACAGATTTCCACTGGTCTAATGTCCATTCCTTGTGTGTCTTGGCCCAAACAAATCTCTTCTGCTTGTTGCCTCTCCTTAGCAGTGGTTTCCTAGCAGCTATTTGACCATGAAGGCCTGATTGGCGCAGTCTCCTCTTAACAGTTGTTCTAGAGATGGGTCTGCTGCTAGAACTCTGTGTGGCATTCATCTGGTCTCTGATCTGAGCTGCTGTTAACTTGCTATTTCTGAGGCTGGTGACTCGGATGAACTTATCCTCAGAAGCAGAGGTGACTCTTGGTCTTCCTTTCCTGGGTCGGTCCTCATGTGTGCCAGTTTCGTTGTAGCGCTTGATGGTTTTTGCGACTCCACTTGGGTACACATTTAAAGTTTTTGCAATTTTCCGGACTGACTGACCTTCATTTCTTAAAGTAATGATGGCCACTCGTTTTTCTTTAGTTAGCTGATTGGTTCTTGCCATAATATGAATTTTAACAGTTGTCCAATAGGGCTGTCGGCTGTGTATTAACCTGACTTTTGCACAACACAACTGATGGTCCCAACCCCATTGATAAAGCAAGAAATTCCACTAATTAACCCTGATAAGGCACACCTGTGAAGTGGAAACCATTTCAGGTGACTACCTCTTGAAGCTCATTGAGAGAATGCCAAGAGTGTGCAAAGCAGTAATCAGAGCAAAGGGTGGCTATTTTGAAGAAACTAGAATATAAAACATGTTTTCAGTTATTTCACCTTTTTTTGTTAAGTACATAACTCCACATGTGTTCATTCATAGTTTTGATGGCTTCAGTGAGAATCTACAATGTAAATAGTCATGAAAATAAAGAAAACGCATTGAATGAGAAGGTGTGTCCAAACTTTTGGCCTGTACTGTATGTTAATGTTGTCTAATGTCAAGTCTCTATTTAATCATGTAACAAGATGATATGATACAGTAGCTAGTTTAGGCACAAAATCTGTCAAGTCTGACAAGCTGAGCACATCTAAAAGTCCAGCGAGCAGTCATGCCTTCTAAACATAAAATCGACACTAAGAAAGGACAAGAGAGAAATGAACAGGAGGAAAAAGTAGCAAAGCTCCCAAATTAGATTCCTTTAGCTTTATTAGAAACAGTTACCTGTGGTGTGTGTGTGCGCCTTGTAAGTTGTAACTACTGTGAACTAGGGCCCATCACAATAGTGTGCACTGGGGCCCATGGTAACTACTTTACGCTACTGGTCCATAAACTGTGGCACCTGTATTTTTGCAGCAAACCCAAAGGACAAAAGAGGGGAAAATGCAATGAAATTTTGCCTTTAGTTTGAATGCAATATTCAGCTTAGATATATTTTTAGGCAACTTCCTCTGTGATACCCACCCCTCACAGATCTTCTTCACCCTGTTCTTCAGCTGGTCACCTTGGAAGAAGATGATGAAGACTGATTTGTGGACTTGGTCTCCCTGTTGGAAAGAGAAAACAATGAGTCTGTCTGTTTCTCATATGTAAACATGACAATTATGTTACGTGTATGCCTGATTGTTTTTCAGTTAATTTCTTTGTACTTTTTCTGCTTAATATGTCAGACTAGTAAATATATTCACTAGTCTCTTTACTTGTACTGACCGTGGCAGGGTCCTCCAGAGGGTCCTCAATCTCTGCCTTCCTTAAGAAGACATTACCGCGACACACTCTCCACAGCATCCTCTCAAAAGTTGGAATTCTCTCCCTGCTGATCACTCCAGCCACAAACCTGCACAACATACAAGTGCTTAGAGCAGAAGAAAACAGACTGACATAGTGAGCCTTTTGAGTGGCAAAAATAAATGACTGTGTTAAGAAGGCTGATATATAAATGGCAATGACAACTTTTAATGTTCATTACCAGATATTAATCATCCTTGGTTAGCTAAGTAGCTTACTTGAAAAGCTATAAGCTATTATGGAAACCCAACACAGTGGTGACGCATAATAAAATGACGTTCCAGACAAAAAAAAAAAAAAAATCACTGAGCACAGCAAAAATGGTAGATTTTGTTTGTATCTTACACAAAGGCACAAATGCTTCCACGTTATGTTAGATACAATCCTGCTAATCATTTCACTTTGCTATTCTAATCTACAGGTAATAATTTACCAACAAGTGCAGCAATGCGTTATCAATCATTTTTCATTACTGGCAAATGAAACGGACAAGACATTGACAGACTTTGCAAATAAATCACCACTTACTGATCAAAAAAAAAAAATTGACTACTTATTTCTTTAGTGGAGGGCATCCTCCTGACCATCAAAATATATATTCATGTGCAATGTGCAATTAGTATGACTATCTCAGTATTTGCCAAGACAACTGCAAAGTGTGTCCTAGAGAATATGATGCAGTCCTCATGCTTTACCCCAGTCTGAGCGGGGCCCCGCGGCCCCCCTCACTACCCTCCATCAGGGCTGATGACTCCTCCAGCAGGTTGGGATCCTCCATCTGTCAAAGACATTAAGAAGACCTCAGTTACCATGCCTTCACAAACACAACAATAATCTATTGTGCTTCTGGGTGTGTGGTGTGTACATCTGAGAGGGCGAAATAAGCAAACCTCATCAAAGAACTGCTGTGTTCGACGGAGGATGTGTTTGAGCTCCGTCAGCTCCAGGAAGTTCTTCTTCAGGGCTTCCTGGTTGGTGTTGATCTCCTTCAGTTCATTCTCCAGCTTCTCAAAGGTGGCCTGCCAGTCACAGTCAACAGGCACTTTTTACTGACTCAAACCTGAGGAGACTTCGTTTACATTTGCTTTTAGAATGTTTTGGCATTAAGCTGAAGACAGAGGGTGGTCTAAATAGGAATCTTTAACAGTTTTGAATTAAGGATTGTTTTTGTCGTTTTTGTACAAGCATCTCTGTAATGTAAAAGGTGTGATGAGTTTTTCAAACAACAATGTATCTATGGGTGATAACCAATTACATTAGTCATATAGTGTCAATAACTCTGTTACACTAAAATATTCACTGTACCTACAAATCACACATTATGTATTTACAGTTTAAAATACACATTGTGCTCTAACATATATGCATCATCATTGTATCAATAAGAATCCTGCATGTTGTACTTAGTATAGATATGTATTACATGCATATAATGTACATAACCACCAAAATATTAAAACCACTGACAGATGAATTGAATAACATTAACCAACTCATTACAATGCAAAGTGCTGCTGGGAAACTTTGGGTCCTGGCATTTATGTGGATGCCACTTTGGGATCAGGATTTATGGGACCTGCCATTACCCCAGAGGGCTACCACAGAGGTACCCCACATCCAAGGTGGGGCCTCCTTGGATCGGACTTGGCTCTGACTTGTCAAGGTACAAACGCAGGACCTCTGCGAGGGTCCTTAGGTGTCTGGCACCAAGATGTTGGTGGTGGATCGTTTGAAGTCCTGTGGGTTGTGAGGTAGGGTACCAGCACATTCAAGGGATGCTCAGTCGGATTGGGATCTGAGGCCAGGTCAACACCTTGAGCTCTTTGTTATGTTACTGAGCACAGTGTAACAAGATGATCAATATTATTCACTTCACCTACCAGTGGTTTTAATGTTGTGGCCGTCAGGGTATTTCTCTGCTTTCTACAGAAACACTTGACTTGTAAATAGACATTGTATTTTCTTGGTCATTGTTGTTTTTTATATTTATTCATATTTCTATTTGCAACCATTTTTCCCTTCTTGTACGTACATAATGGTTCTCTGTTTATTTTTACCTATCTTTGTTCAGCTTCATTGATCTTGTTCTTAGCTTTATGTCTATTTTTATCTGTTTTTCAATTGGAATTGTGTGTACAGTTTGTGTACACATACTTGGCCAATAAAGCTGACTCTGAGGTGTTGTATATAAAACTCACAATCCAGCTCTACATTAAAAAAAACATTATTAGCTCTCAATCTTTAATTATTAGCTCTCATTCTTAAATTATCCTCTTAAATCAAAACCACTTCTCTGGACACTATGGGTAGCACCTCAGAACTCAGTTTCTTTGGCTATTTTCTTTTGTAGCAGCTCTGAAAAAGGCCAGGCTGCTCTCACAAATTTTTCATATTTTTTCCTACGACAAGCAATGCATCCAAATTCGTACATATCCCACCTATTTTGAAAGGCTGCCATCACGTAACCAATCTGCTGATGGCAGTAAACAAGGAAGCATTTCCGAGCAGTTATAAGGAGCCGGGTTGGGGTGGGTGATGAGTCACAAAAAAACCAGACTTTTGCCCGGGACTTTCCCCTGGAATTGCGTGTTTGGATCTCTGTGAACTTTAAGAGCACTTTGAGTCATTTTAAGGTACGTCCTTGCCATGTTTCTTTTCCTAAACCTAACTACAGTAACTTTACTTGCCTAAACCTAACCTCCATAACTTTACGTTACTTACGTAACTGTACATTAAGGATGTAACGTCATTCATGGGGGACAAATTTGTAGGATGTCATATGAACTGTTCTATGACAATATGTTATAAAGGACCATACTCCTGAAGACGCTCTTTACAATACAGAGCCACAAGAAGAAAATTTGGTCTGTCTTGTCATACCGTAAGTGATGCTGAGTAGTCGTGTACATGGGTAAACTCAAAACCATGTAATTTAATAATTGTGTATTTATCAACAATCCCATTTTTGACTTTTAATAAGAATGTATGTATCAATTCTTCTAAAAAATAATAATGACAAGATGAGTAATAATGGTCACAGATTACAGGCTGATTACCTCGAGATCAATCATGTCCCTGGGAAAAGGCACCTCTGGATTTTCTCCAGTGTCCACAGTTGGGATATTAGCTTTCTTGATCTCCTTCTCCACAAACCCTATTCAACAGAGAGAATCTATGATTAAATACTTCACCAATGTAAAACCAGGTCTTTATATTTCTCCAGATGAGGAAGAAAAACGTAATCATTTTCCTACTGACACCCCTGTAACTATGGAAAGTGTTATGGGTTTACTACAGATTTCATGGGTCTGGGAGTGGTAAGGCTTACTCAGTACGACAAAAAAGAAAAAATCTGAACCAATTTTATGTGTGCTTAATCTAACAGGAGCAGTACAGTACAGAAACTGAAGATGGACTGAATCATAGGCAGGAACTACACTGTGGCTTTGGCTGGATGGCTTGGCTGGAGTGCTAACATGTCTAATTACTTACTCAGTTTCCTGTCCATCTCCTCACATCTCCTCACTTCATTCACAAATTTGCGCTGGAACACGTTTACGTCCGGATTCAACTGTTGGTGGAAAAATACGTCATACAAAAGACAGCATACAAGCAACACCACACGTCCTCTGTGACCTTTCCCATTTTTCACTAGCTTTAATTTAATAAATGAGAATATTTGTGCCTTCAGAGAAGCTCCACCACAATGAATAGCACAGCATGACAACATTCATACTCACATCTCTAAACTGGACCATGCCCAGTTCTCCCAGCTCACTGACGCAGCAGTAGGCTGCCTCTGACTGGAGAAAGAGCTGGGCCAGGGTCATCTCCTCGCTCCTGAACAGTTCCCCCATGATGACAACCACACTCCACCACAGCTAGAATAAAGAAACACCACACCTAGGACAGGAAGATACATAGAGATTAGATTAGACTCAAAGATTTTTGAAATAAAGTTAAACAACACACACACACACTATGTTCCTTAAAGAGCTGTTGTAATTATTTATTATGATTTAGAGCAATATATTATATTGTACTGTCTGCAGAACAGCACAATAAATACTACACTATTCTATACTATACTATACTATACTGTACTGTAATGTACTGTAGAGAACAAAATATAAAATACAGTACCACACCATTATGATACACTATAGGACACACTATAGTTGTTGTGTTTTGCCAACGATAATTTTCATAATTGAGTAACCTGCCAATTATTTTCTTTATTAATCAATTCATTTTCTAAAATGTCAGTTCCACCTGGAACCGTGCCCTAGGCTTCCGTGCTCACCGCAGCAGCCTTCCTACTAGTCGCGACATAGCCCTTTCAGCTCCTGTCACCAGCAACGGCTGGGTATGGGCCTGATGCTCCAGCACCATCGATTTTCAGGGCTAGTTGATTCAGCAGGTGAGTTGTTACACACTCCTTAGCGGATTCCGACTTCCATGGCCACCGTCCTGCTGTCTATATCGACCAACACCTTTTCTGGGGTCTGATGAGCGTCTGCAACGGGTGCCTTAACCTGGTGTTCGGTTCATCCCGCAACACCAGTTCTGCTTACCAAAAGTTGCCCACTAGGCAGCTCACAGTCCACTTCCAGTCACTTCTTACCCATTTAAAGTTTGGGAATAGCTTGAGATTGTGGCCCCAAGGCCTCTAATCATTCACTTTACTAGATAAAATTTCAAGACTCTGAGCACCAGCTATCCTAAACTCAACTCAACTCAACTTTATTTATAGAACACTTTAAAAACAACCACAGCTGAAACAAAGTGCTGTACAAAAACAAAAACAGAAGACAAACAATAAAAACAATAAAACAGTAAAACAAGAGCAGAGTCTCATGCTGGGTTAAAAGCCAAGGAGTAAAAATGGGTTTTAAGACTGGTTTTAAATGGAAACTTTGGAGGGAACCAGCTTTTAGATTTTTCTGATTACTCTTTAGCCCCTATACCCAGGTTGGAAGACTGATTTGCACATCAGGACCGCTACAGGCCTCCATCAGAGTTTCCTCTAGCTTCGCCCTGCCCAGGCATAGTTCACCATCTTTCGGGTAACATTGCGCACGCTCAGTGACGGACTCAGTATGTTTGAAGGGCAGGGGCATAAAGGAAAAAAGGGCACCTACTGCATGACGTGAGGACAAGAGGGCAGCCAAAAGGGCACATCCGCTCGTTTTCATCCAATAGGGCACATCGTCTTGTTTTGATCACTCAAGAGGGCAGCCAAAAGGGGCCATCCTCTCGTTTTCACCACTCAAGAGGGCAGCCAAAAGGGGCCATCCTCTCGTTTTCACCACTCAAGAGGACAGCCAAAAGGGGCCATCCTCTCGTTTTCACCACTCAAGAGGGCAGCCAAAAGGGCACATCCTCTCGTTTTTGTTAATCAAGAGGGCAGCCAAAAGGGCACATCCGCTCGTTTTAATCATTCAAGGGGGCAGCTGATAGGGCACATCATCTCATCTTTGCCACTCAAGAGGGCACTTTAGCGCGGCGCTTTCAACCTAGGCGGCACCGGGGGGGTGGTCGCTCAACCCTCTGACTCGTGTGCACATTAGAATACTTGGTCCACGTTGTAGTATTGTCAGAGGGTTCTAAAGTAGGATAACCTTCAAATATACTGTCAAAATATCTCACTGTATCTCTCTATCACTCCTGCTCTATCTTGTTCCCACCTACTAGTTCACTTTGTTCAGGTGTGCTGCTGCACACAGGTGAGGGGGGCGTAGCCTTTGGGAAAAAGGAGCAGAGAATTGTTTGGGGAAGGTTTTTTGATTTTGTTTGTGCAGGAGGTGGTGAAAGCTGTTTCCTCTACTGTGTGGGGGCATAAGTATAACAAGGTGTGTGGAAGACTGTAAAGACTGAGCAATATGTTTCTTTCCTTGTGTGTGCTTCTTTCATCAAGTGCTTTAAGTTGGATAAAGGGGTAATTATTAAAATGGACATTCCTCCTATTACCTTTTTAATTTTTTCTCTGTACTTTTAATTGGGTAGGCAAATAATATCTAAATAAATTGTATTTAAGTTTCTTTTTAGTACTTTCTTTTGATGGTGCCAGAGGGGAATCAAAGGGAGCACCTTTATTTTGCTGACCCTCCTTTAACCAAGTTAAAGTAATCACTGTAACTTTTCAATTTATCTTATACCTGGGCTTCAAAGTTAAGCTGATTGTTATAATATTATTGGTATATTTTAGAATAAAAATAAATATAATGTTATCAACTCATTCTAAGCACCACAAACATTAAACACCATATGGATCTTACACTGCTCAGATAAAACAAACCACAAATATTTAGCAAAAAGACCAACGCAATGATTAAAAATACATATTTATATTAAGAATTCTAATTCGGCTAGGCTAATTAATATGAGAGATGGAGAAGTAGGCTACTGTTCTCATTACACAGCAATTTCATTTAATATCCACGCTTACTGATATGTATAGTAGGTAGTCTTTAACTATACCAGAAGATGCTAAAGCTAAACACGGAAGAGAATGGTGCTTATTGGTCAAGAATGGACAAGCCTTAATAATAATAGGCTATGTTATATGCACCGCAATGACGTAGCCTAAATATCAAGCTGCTAAATTACAAGTCATAAATATCATTTTAAAATAGTTCTGCTTTAGAATCTTGAGCATCTTGAGCACCGAAGCTAGCATGCAGAGCACTGCCGATGTCGCAGCATCCTCTCTGCTGCAGCTCTGCCCTTCACTGCTCAAGGACGCCATGATGCTGCTGGAGCCCGGCCGACCTACAGCATCTGTCTCCTCCTCTCCTCTCGCACACCCTGAGTGAGTCCGCTTCAACAAATAACACTCTATTCATGGCAAACAACAACAAATAGTACTATATTTATCCGTTATTGCCACTTATAGCGTTAAACACACCCATTACGGGTCCGATACTAGAATTTGATTTAACGTTGGGTTTACTCTTTTATAGGCTGTGTTAACGTCACAACGTTAGGACGCTGTTGTGTTAATAATATTTCAGAACGGGACCCACTCGGCACATGTGACTGACAAACATATATTTAATAAAAACGCTCCTCACCTATATATGACGCTACTGGTCAGTTCTCTGTGGCCTGGAGGATGCTGGATGCTGAGGTCCGGGACGGTGCGTCAAGTTAGATACAGCCGACCGGAAGTATACGGCAAACTACATAATTTCAAAGTAAAGGCATGGTGCATTTTCTTAACATATGTGTACAGCACTTTTTGAACTTACTCCAAGAATGATAACGACAGCGATACAAGTGCATCAAAAACATGCTATTAATCACCCGACTTGGTGCCCTCTGTCGTTCAAAATCATGATAACATATTTGTCATTATCGTTTTATTCTAAAAATCCTAACCGGAAGCTTAATTTGAACCTGTTAGGTCCGATTTGATCAGGGTTTGATCCAGGAGTTTTTGGGATTACCATTGGTGACATGGTGACTCAACTGGAGCATGTCACCCAAGTTTTACATATTTATACAGCAAAGGGATTTATTACATTACATTTTAAAAGGATGTTGTATACATGACATTTATTGCATGAAGATCTGTCCTAGGAAAGGAATCCCTCCTCTGTTCCTCCTCCTGGGGTTTCTTCCATTTTGCATATCAGAATCGAGGGTAGAAGGTGGTACAGATTATAAAACCCATTGAGGCAAATTTGTAATTTGTTATATTGGGCTATATAAATAACACTGACTTGACTGTAAGGATAAAAAAGACACACATTTTATAGTGTCCAAGTGTAGCCTTCCCCCTCTCCACACACACACACACACACACACACACACACACACAGACTGTATTAGAGGCTGTACAATAAGAATTATGAGAACACAGAGGTAACATTATTTTAATCAATACCTGTTTTATATGATACTCCTAATCTTAATTTTCTGTTTGAGTGTTAAGATTTGGATTGCATTCATCTTTATCCTACTACGAAAGTTTAAACAAATGTTGTGTCGGTAATAACAACTTTAATGAGTACAGAGAGGCTGGAATACTGATGAAGTAAGGCTGGACTACTGTGAAGTAAGTAATGATAATGTAATGATTCATTAAAAAACATCTGTACAGATTAATGTAATAAGCCCTGACAGTCTAATAGTCTGACAGATCAATGAAGTAAACATTATGTCTTATATTCCTGTTTGTCCTCTACCTATTCATGTGGTGATGTTACTGGCCCATTTCCCGACACTGGAAGTGTATAAATCCTGAAGCAAGGGCAGGCTGGCACAAATCATTCTCTTCTGCAGTCATGACAGTCCATTCTAGTTTTCCTGTCCTGTTTGGTGGCTGATCCAAACCGCAAAGTGATGGATATGCAGAGAACAGACAGGTCCTACAGCAAATACAGTGTAAAAATATGCCGTTCATGTTACAAGTAATGTACCAAGAATTTGTGTTTGCATGTATGTGATTGGTCACTGCAGTGCCTTGCTAGATAACATGTTGCGATGACCTTAAGGAGTGTGTAAAATCACTTTAGAAATGTTGATAAAACTTATGAAACATACAAATGTAATGTACAGTAGCATGCAAAAGTTTGGGCATCCCTGGTCAAAATGTATTTTGTAAGATGAACTGATCTCCAAAAGGCAGAAAGTTGAGGATGAAACATGCTTTTCAACATTTGAAGCAAAATGAATGTATTATTTTTGGTTTTGTACAATTTTAGAGTGAAAAAAAGTAAAGGAGCACCATGCAAAAGTTTGGGCACCCTGAGCTGAGCTCCCAGACAACTTCTACCAGGGTATTAAACCTTAATTAGATTGTTAGGGCTATGGCTTGTTCATAATCATTGTTAGGAAAGGCCCGGTGGTGCAAATTTCAAAGCTTTATAAATACGCTGACTCCTGAAACCTTGTCCTAATAATCAGCAGCCATGGGCTCCTCTAAACAGCTGCCTGGCACTCTGAAAACTAAAATAACTGATGCCCACAAAGCAGGAGAAGGTTATAAGACGATAGCAAAGTGTTTTCGGGGAGCTGTTTCTTCAGTTTGTAATGTAATTAAGAAATGGCAGTAAACAGGAACTGTGGAGGTCAAGTTGAGGTCAGGAAGACCAAGAAAACTTTCAGAGAGCTGCTTGTAGTATTGTTACAAAAGGCAAATCAAAACCCCTGTTTGACTGCAAAAGATCTGCAGGAAGATTTAGCAGACTCTGGAGTGGTGGTGCACTGTTCTACTGTGCAGTAACACCTGTACAAATATGACCTTCATGGAAGAGTCATCAGAAGAAAACCTTTCCTGTGTCCTAACCACAAAATTCAGCATCAGAAGTTTGCAAAGGAACATTTGAATGAGTACTGTGGACTGGTGAAGTTAAAATATAATTTTTGGACCCAATGAGCAAAGGTATGTTTGGAGAAAAAAGGATGCAGAATTTCATGAAAAGAACAACTGTCCAACTGTTAAACACGGAGGTAGATCAATTATGCTTTGGGCTTGTGTTGCAGTGGCACGGAGAACATTTCATAGGTAGAGGGAAGAATGGATTCAGTTATCTTCCAGCACATTCTGGAAGCAAACATCACAACATCTGTAAAAAAGCTGAAGATGAATTAAGGATGGCCTGACAATAATCCTAAATACACCTCAAAATTCACAATGGACTACCTTGAGAGGCACAAGCTGAAGCTTTTGCCATGGCCCTTACAGTCCCCCGAACTTAACATCATTAAAAATCTGTGGATAGACCTCAAAAGAGCAGTGGGCTGATAAAGCTCTGTAGACTTGAGGGGACCTGTGAGTTCATCACTAAAAATGCCACCTTTCACATCACACATTGTCATTTGATCCACTGTAAAAAAAAAAAAATATATTGCTTACAGTACTCTTTATATTCTGCCATTAATCAGTCATGTTGTGGAGATTTATCCCCCCGTCATTCATTATAGTCTGTACTATATGAAACAGTAATTAGATGATCATCATGTACTAACTGGAGCCTGTAAGATGCTTACAGTACCTCATCTCTATTAGTACTACCTAAAATAAAGTGCTACCAAAACCACTCCTCTAAGCGTCCTGAGAATAAGGTCTACCAGATGTGGTGGAATAGTCCACAACTGGCCAAGCATTGAGTCAGTACTAACAAGATCCTGCAGAATTTTTCCTCTTACAAACAGCCACAGCAGCGTTTCACCCCCTCTGTTCCACATGGTGCAGGGTTTAAACCAGGACACTGGCTGGCTGCCAGTGAGCAATTCTGGAAGCATGGAACTCCCATAATGTACATAAATTACTGCGGCAGACTTCTATGAGAAACAGCTTTTATAACTTTCTCCCTCATTCCGGGGTGCCATGTGCTTTTCATAATTTGTATGCATTAGAATGTTTTTTCCAAGTGTTTGCCGTGCATGTCACTGAGTGCATACAGAGGAAAAGTGCTCTTTGGAAAATGGCTTTCCGTGGATTCCTAATAAGAGATTGACTCATGTTCAAGTTTATTCAAAAATATGTCTCTCCAGCAGCTTCTGGATCCCGACCCTTGCTTTTAGGAACTAAAAAGGCTGTGCTGATAACTTAATGCAGGAAAGCAGTTCCAGTTTTCACTGTCCACTTGCAACTACGGACTGTACTTTTGAAGCAATGCCATTGCTCAGTGGCAAAATAGATTACATGTCCAACTGGGCTGATTTAGGCAGCTGCGATAAATCTGTCTTTCAGTATTGCTTAAAATGTATAAATACATAATTGAGCAGTTGTGGAAAGATCAGTCCACCACACCCAATAAAAGAAAAAAAACTCATGATGAGGGGTCTGCATTAAACAGCAATACTATATCAAAACATCTGCTTACAAAGTCTCACACAACTTATGCAATACAGTTCAAGTCTCATGTATCCATTCACGTGCTCAGTACCTTGACAGCACTTGAAAGTAAAACGTATCTGTTCTCTCGTCAAAGCCAGACTAATTTTTCCTTTGCTGAACACAGATGCTGCTGGTCTTCCGCTGCCTCAGTCAGTTAGTTGGTTTATGTTACCTGGCATTTTGGCCCTGATCCAACCCAGTCTCACTCCAAAGTTGTCAAAAATCAGCACTTGGTCATTGACTTCTGGTGACAGATACAGATGAAAAAAGCTGTCCTTTCATAGTGGCATGATACATAGCCGGTCGCCGTTATTGTTTAACCGCACTTCCATGATTGCCGCTTGGTTTTAACCAATTCAGCAGCATCCAGTGAAGTTGCAGGAGAGAACCATACAGTTGATTGATTGATTAATTGATTGATTGATTGATTGATTGAGAGTTTAGGACTAGGGACTTGATGTGGGACTTGAGTGCAAAGATATGAGACTTACTTGTGGCTTCAATTACTTGGTCTCAACTCTGCTTTGCAGTGCTTTCAAGTGCAACTTTTTGGACAAGACACAGTTGACGTGTGGTGATGGAACAGTTTGCCTGGTCACCACTAGTTCTTTGATGTTGGTTTGGTGTGTCTGGGCCTTAGGGTTAGAGGTGCCTAAAAATAATTCCTGTTATGCTGAGGGCATTTTTTTTTATCTGCTCATTTTGAGTCTGATTGTGTATGTGTGTGTCTGTGGTTTATATCAGCATAGTGGATGCAAGATCTTTATTGTTTTTATGTGGGTGTGTGAAAATTCATTTTAATGTTGAGGTAACTTATGTTACATGTGCTACATATATAAAATTTCATCGCCTTACTAAATCTGGGAAACCACTTCAAATTAACTCTGTCTCATCCCTTTAGAACTGGTCTGCACTTGAGTGAGCTTGAACCGAAAACAAGGTCTTGCTCTTGACCTTCATTCACGAAACCCTTGTGATTGATTAGGTAAAGGTTAAGTTCTTACTGCTTTAGAAGATCAATCCCTGCAGATGATGACACAAATGAACCAGACCAATAAACCAGCAACATCATCAATATATAATATATATTTTAGCTTGCGTTTTGGGGTAATTTATATTTTCAGGACAGTATCCTGCCTGGAATTGATGTCAATGATGTTTGACAAAGTAATTTTTACCCGAGGTCTGCATACAAGCTTTTTTTCTGAACTTTTAACCACATCCGATGGCCTTCATCTGTGAATGGCATTGCCAGTGAGCCAACTCCATGTCGACTGGCCAGTGCCAACCATGACATAGGCAGT